CAAGCAACCAATCAAACAAAAAACCTCAAGAATTGACATAAGCCATACCAGGCAAACCCAAGCAAATTTAATCTCATTTGATGTAAGCTTCCTTCCTCCCACCCTGCCTCTCCCCCCAGCTCCAGGCAGTTGTCTTCTGTATCTCAAGTCACACTGGAAATAACCCGGAGAGCAAACTCTTAACTGGGGACCCCAAATGTCTTATGGTCAATGGACACATCCCCTGAAGACTTGCCTTACATCTACAATGGAACACTAAGGATTTTACAACTATAGCAGTTGAAAAATGCATCCATAATAAACCAGGAATAAACCATTCATGGCTTAGAAACCAAAATACTGAGCTCGGTATTTTTAAAATCCATCTTGTTAAAGCTGGTTATAAGACAATAAACAAAGGCTAATGAACAGAAGACTCACTGTGTCATGTCTAAAATTAGACTGCATGACATTTGCATTGTTACGGGTTTATGGAATACTCAAAGGCTATTCTATTACTGTTTTAAGCATCGTATGTATCTTTATCAATTTGATAATTACAGCTAGTTCAGTATATTGCTAGTTCAACAGGTAAGTGACAGGATAATTTCTTACAGGAACAAACGATGGAGTCGGTATAAAGAGATGTAATTAGTACAAATTGCAACACCGAAAAAAAAATGCCGACAGCAAGTCTTCTGAAGTTCCTGAAAGAAACAGCACAAGCAGAAAGGACAGTATTACCTCTGTTTGTCACTGCCCTCCCGGCAGAGGCACTCAGTCCCGAAACCGACTCACTCAGTTGGTTATTGCTTCCTCACCTGTACAGCCAAAAGCAGCCTTGCTGGCAATACCCTGCGTGAGACGCAGCAAAGTGCCAGCCCAGGAAAAGTGATTGGAACACGGAGCTGGGAATGGGAGGAGGGGGTGGGTGAAGTCAGGATTTAGATCGTGTGAAACTGCCATGGAATCGCACCTTAAACTGTTTAAAATAAGCAGGGTCATTCTGAGAGAAATGAGTTAAGGAATGATCATACGAGTGGCAATCTGGGGAGGCTTGAGAAAATTGCATCCTCTGGCTGGAACAGTGATGAGGAGGCAGGGCAGGCTGAGGAAGACAGAAAGCTTCAGCTGAGCTAGTTTTAGCTAGGCACAGTTCCCACCATGCCTGACACACCCCTGGTCTCACATGCCTTATCATCCTACCTGAAACTATATAAAGCAGAGCCATTCTGACCAGAAGGAGATTTAATTAAGAAATTCCAGGTTAAAGTCTGAAGAAATCCAGCCAAGTAACAGAGAGGGGGGAGAGAAACAGCGGAACAATTCCCCTTGTACCACTGGATGAAACCACAAACCAAAACTGAGCAGGAAATCTGACAAAAAATAAAAACAAAGATGCAGAATCAAAAAAAAAAAAAGAACCGGTGGAGCTTTGAGACTTTGTGTTTTTGTCACAATACATACACTGCTTGAACCATCTGGGTAGTTCGTCTGATTTCAATCAACTAAGCGTTTGCAGAATGTGTGGTTGGATCCATATGCAGAAATATTTCACTGAGCTGGCAAGTGACGAGTCATAATACAGGTCTGGTGTGACTCTCAGAAATTCATTTCTGAATTTCTGAGCTCCTATTACCGTAATGATGCTAACATACTGGAAGTAGCTCAGATGAAGAGAAACAGAAGGTGGTTACTGGCATAAATAATGATTTAGAAGATCTAGAAGCACCTGAAGTATGCATGCACTCATAACGGAGAACTCATGGGATATACGATGCTAAATTGAAGAATAGCAAAGTGCAGATTGGGAAAGAGATCGTTTATGAAAGCTTTCTGAACAACAGGATATTTTAGACCATGGAACAACCTCATGAGAAACAAGTGGAGCTGCAACGCGTGGCAACTACTGAGGACAAAATAATACACTGGTATAAGGGAAGGCTCTATGAGGTAACAGATCCATGCACATCTGCTTCTGCGTTTGAGGAAAGGCAAGTTCAAATGCGAACAGGATGGCTGCTAAACAAACATTAAATATGACAGGAACAAGCCCCTACAACAGTACTTCTCACTTGCTATGTGACCTCTAATATTGCTATTGCCTTATCCATTCAGTTCGGTTTCAAGCACGCCTCCTTGTCCTCATGTCAAGTACAATAGCATTCCTTGAAATGCCAGAAAATTGGCTTTCCTTTCAGACCATCCACGTTTTTACACAAAAGCATTTCCAGCACTGGTTTCTGCTGCCACAGCTGTTCTGCAGCCAGAAGAATAGGCTTTTTTTTTTTTCTTTTTTTTTAAAGTGTCAATAATAAAAAGTAATAAAAGCGTGACACATCCCAAAGCGCTTGGAGCTACTCCTACAGAGAGCTACGGAGGGGAGCACAATCTTTTTCCCTTCGTCCTGTCAATCACTGCGTTACACCATTAAAGGATCAGCTGGTTGAAGTAATCTTTTCCGATTATTGTCACCTTTAACGCTGGGGGGAAGTGGGGGGGGGAAGGGGGATAAGCATCAACCACGCAGAGAGCTTTAGTTCCTTAAAAGATTTTTTTGTAAGGTGCTCCAACTGTCTGGAAGAGACACGCCTCGAAACGTCCCTCAACTAGAATTTCACCACGTATCTTCAGCCTACCTCCATTAGAAATAAAAAACCACCACCAACAAAGCCACAAAAAACCCCAAACCAGCCAACCAAACAAAACCCCAAATCAAGCCGTTTTGGCACGGAAAACCTCTTTAGCTGCACACGAATAATAAAAAATTAAAATTGCCGTTGCGAAACGCAACGCCGCCGAATATACGACCGCGGCTCATCCTGCGGATCCAATCGCCGCTCGCAACCAAGGTGACTTTGGGGAAAAACTTTGGGGCAGGCCCCCGCCCCCGCCCGGCCCCCTGCGGCCAAGGCTGCTGACGGGCAGGGCCCCTCA